ACCTTCTCTACCTTGGTGACCTCTGGCCCCCTGGCTACCACCTTCACTTGAGTGGCCTCTGGAACCTCAGCCACCTTCTCTACCTTGGTGGCCTCCCTTAGCTGTCACCTTCACATGAGTCTCCTCTAGTACCTAGAGAATCTCCTCGTGACCTCTCAGCCCTCACTACCTCCTTCCCCTAGGTTTTCTCTAGTACTTTGGCCACCTCCTTCCCTTGGCTGACCTGCTGTCTCAACCGACACTCAACCTTCCCCTGACTGTCCTCTCGGACTTCACCCCTCCTCTAGTCATGTGGCCTCGGAGACCTCGACCAACACCTCTAAATGCACCACTTGATGTGTTGCTTTGAACGGTATAATTTGTAAAAAAAAATCATCTCTTCTTTTTGAATGAATAGAAAGAAGTGTCACAGATGGTACTGCAGGGCTTTGCAGTACAAGGGTAACACCGGCTGAGATCCTGGTCACTTTTCTCAGGTTTCTGAGAGTACACAGTCGGTTGCGTTATTTCCTCATCATGAGCTTGGCAGCAGGTATCTCTTGTAGATAAAGACAGATTTTTTATTTTTTGTGGGGACAGAGTCTCACTGTCACCCAGGCTGGAGTGCAGTGGTGCAATCCTGGCTCAGTGCAACCTCCATCTCCCCGGTTCAGGTGATCCTCCCACCTTAGCCTCCAGAGCAGCAGCTGGGACTACAGTCACGCACCACCACATTTGGCTCCTTTTTATTTTTAAAATTTTTTTTGAGACAGAGTCTCACTCTTGCTGCCAGGCTGTAGTGCAGTGGCACCATCTTGGCTGACTGGAACCTCTGCCTCTGAGGTTCAAGCAATTCTCCTGCCTCCGCCTCCCAAGTAGCTGGGACCACAGGTACATGTCACCATGCCCAACTAATTTTTTGTATTTTTAGCAGTAACTGCATTTCACTACCTTGGCCAGGACAGTCTTGATCTATTGATCTCTTGATCTGCCCGCCTTGGCCTCTGAAAGTGCTGGGATGACATGCATGAGCCACAGTGCCCGGCCTTTTTTTTTTTTTTTTTGAGATGGAGTCTCGCTTTGTCACCCAGGCTGGAGTGCAGTGGTGCGATCTCAGATCTCAGCTCACTGCAATCTCCGCCTCCCGGGTTCAAGTGATTCTTCTGCCTCAGCCTCCTGAGTAGCTGAGACTACAGGTGCATACCATCATACCTGGCTAATTTTTGTATTTTTAGTAGAGACAGGGTTTCACCATATTGGCCAGGCTGGTCTTGAACTCCTGACCTCAGGTGATCCACCCAGCTCGGCCTCCCAAAGTGCTGGATTACAGGTGTGAGCCACCATGCCTCCTCTCTCTCTCTCTCTCTCTCTCTCTTTTTTTTTTTTAAAAACTTTTTGTTGAGACCGTGTTTCACCATGTTGCCCAGGCTGGTCTCAAACTCCTGGACTCATGCCATCTGCCAACTTAGGCCTTCCAAAGGGCTGAGATTACATGCTTGAGCCACCAGCCCAGCCAGAGATTGTGTATAGAAGCCAGAAATAGCAGTTTTGCGGGTGTGCATCGAATCCGGGCCACATGGCCGTCTCTGTGAGGGATGAGACCCGTCCCTGACTTGCAGGGCATCCTGTGTCCTCCAGCAGAGAGATCCACACTAAAGGGCACAGAGCTAGTGACCACCCACCCACAGTGGAAGCACAAGTGAAGGGACCCAGGGTGCAAAAGAAAGAGACCGAATCTCTTGGGAACAAGCAGGAGGCTGTGAATGAGAAGGCTGGAGCGGGTTGGTTTTCACTTGGGGGTTTGTGTAACTCAGGTGGAGCTAAAAGGCTCCTGGCTGGGCAAGCAGTGTGAGCAGGAGCGTGGAGGCTGCGTGAGGGCCCCGTAGAGCTGCTGCGCGGGAGAGCTCAGATGGCCTGGTGTGCACAGGGAATTGTGCCCCTAGCACTTCCTCATTGCCCTACTGCCCTTAGTCCATTATCTGTAGGAATGATGATTCTTTCCCTGGGTGTGTCACGTCTCTGGATCAGGGTGAATGAATGCCTAGAGCTCTGGGAAATTTAGCTTGGTTCTGTCCGGGTCCCCTGTCTCCCCTACTTTTTATGGTGCCGGGAGACTAACAGTGAGGATGGGTCTGGTTTATTGGAGCTGCACCTTGGTCTTCAGAATCAGGTCGACTCTGGCGGGAAACTTAAGGCCAATCCTGAGCTGTTCTGGCATCATCTTGTCCCCAGCAACCTCTCTCTCCCCCTGCAACTCCCAGCTTTGCTTCTCCCAACCTTGGCACATAAAATCCTCCCCATTTGCTATGTCTCTGCTGCCTGAGCCCAGACACCAATTCTCAGTGGGGCTCAGAGCCCCAGCTTTCTTGGAAATGAGCTGGGACTGATGTGGTTATGAGGTCATGGTGAGGACAAGGAGACTAAGCCCACAAGGAAAGCATCTTGCTAAATAGCTGCTAAAAGGGAGAACCTCCTCCCTCCCTCCCTCTGGTTACATGAGAACATTCCCACTCAGAAGATCAGCGTAAGATGTTCATTGACGTTTACTAACCTTAGGGTGTAACAGCTCAGGCCCCGGGATTTCCAATCTCTGTATCAAAAGATAAGGGATAGCCTCTGTCTTCAAGATTAAAATTCAGATTCTTATGAGATGAAGAGATTATAGGAATGCATACACAGTGAAACTCTGAGATCTATATCTGTGATCTGTAGGTAATTATTCCTCATGACATACAGACACATATGCAGCCACACACAGAAGTATTTAGTAGGGGCACAGGTATTTTATAGAAGACAAAATGTATATTGGGCAAAAAAGATCACATGGAAATAAACCAAAACAATTTTTTTCACTATAAAAATGCTGTCATAATGGTGTGTGTACAGCACGGGATGTGGATAGGGAAAACCAAGTGCACACACAGAGGCACAGGCCAGAGGACAGGCTGGGAGTGAATAAAGAGTTCACACCGCTCCCTGCTTTCCCCGGTGACTGGAGGCTTTAGGTCACCTCCTCCTCGAACTTGCCCTCCTCCTCGGCCGTGGTGTCCTGGTACTGTTGGTGTTTGAACACCAGGTAATTCATGTTGCTCTTGGCCTGAGTGAACTCCATCTCGTCCAGGCCCTTGCTCATGTAGCAGTGCAAGAAGGTCTTGTGTGGAAACATGGCTGTAAACTGCTCTGAGATGCACTAGAACAGCTCCTGGATGGCCCTGCTGTTGCCAATGAAGGTGTTGGACATTTTTAGCTCTCGGGGCGGGATGTCACAGACAGCCATTTTCTCATTGTTGGGGATCCACTCAGCAAAGTAGCCGCTGTTCTTGTTTTGGACATTAACCTTCATGGACATGCAGCCCCTGAACACGGCAGCCACTGTCAGGTAGTGGCCATGGCAGGGTTGCAGGCTGCCGTCATGTTCTTGGCATCCAACATCTGCTGGGTGAGCTCAGGCACTGTCAGGGCCCCGGTATTGCTGGCTGCCTTGCTGGTCAGCGGGACAAAAGTAGGCATGAAGACTTGCAGGCAGGGGAACGGGACCATGTTCACTGCCAGCTTCTGCATGGGAAGTGCAGGCAGGTGGTGACCCCACTCATGGTGGCAGACACCAGGTGGTTCAGGTCACTGCAGGTGGGCGTAGCAGCTTTAGGGTTCTGAAGCAGATGTCATAGAGAGCCTCGTTATCAACGCAGTAGGTCTCATCTATGTTTCCTACAAGCTGGTGGATGGAGACAGTGGCATTGTAAGGTTCCACCACCGTGTCTGACACCTTGGGTGAGGGCACCACACTGAACGTGTTCATGACCTGTCTGGGTACTCTTCCCAGATCTTGTTGATGAGGAGGAAACCCATCCCAGACCCAGTCCCCCCACCCAGGGGGACTTGGCCACTTTGCTGTTTTATTTTGTGGTTTTTAGTATACTTCTGGATTCAATATGCTGTTTTTTAATTTTATGTTCAGATACCTTTGTGTTAGCTACTACATACCTAACAAATGTTTTATTTATGTTTAGATTCATAGAAGCCTGGGTGAAGTCGCTCACACCTATAATCCCAACATTTTGGGAGGCCGAGGTGGGTGGTTCACCAGGTCAGGAGTTTGAGACCAGCCTGACCGACATCATGCAACTGCGTCTCTATTAAAAATACAAAAATTAGCCAGGGATGGTGGCACGTACATGTAATCCCAGCTACTCAGGAGGCTCAGACAGGAGAATCGCTTCAACTGGGGAGGCAGAGGTTGCGGTGAGCTGAGATCATGCCACTGCACTCCAGCCTGGATGACAGAGGAGACTCTATCTCAAAAATAAAATAAATAATTAAATTAAATTAATAGAGACTGGATCTCACTGTGTTGCTCAGGCTGGTCTCAAACTCCTGGGCTCAAGTGATTTTTTTCATCTTGGCCACTGAAAATGCGGGTATTACAGTGTGAGCCACTGCACCCAGCCCAAATATTTTCTTTTTTTTCTTTTCTTTTTTCTGAAAATGGAGTCTTTCTCTTGTCACCCAGGCTGGACTTCAGTGGCGGGATCTCAGCTCACTGCCACCTATACCTCCTGGGTTCAAGCATTTCTCCTCCCTCAGCCTCCTGAGTAACTGGGATCACAGGCACGTGCCACCACACCCAGCTCATTTTTGTATTTGTAGTAGAGGCGGGGTTTTACCATGTTGGTTAGGCTGGTCGCACACTCCTGACCTTGTGATCTGGCCGCCTTGGCCTCCCAAAGTGCTGGGATTACAGGCATGAGCCACCATGCCCAGCCATGATTCAGGATTTCTAACAAGTTTCCTAGTGATTCCAGTGCTGCTGGTCTTTAGACTATAATTTTGTAAGCAAGGATACTTAAAGTTAAAAAGTAATGCGGGCTTTTTTTTAATTTCTGTTTTTTAAGAGAGAGTCTTAATGTAGACCATACTTTTGTAAGCAAGGATACTACTTAAAGCTAAAAAGGAATATGGTTTTTTTTTTTATTATTGTTGTTATTTCTGTTTTTTGAGACAGGGTCTTACTCTGTTACCCAGCCAGAGTGTAATGGTATGATCTTAGTTCGCTGCAACCTGCATCTCCCGGCTTCAAGTGATTCTCCAGCCTCAGCCTCCTGAGTAGCTGGGATAATGAACCACAAGGGCGGGCTATTTTTTGTGTTTTTAAGTAGAGATGGGGGTTTCACTATGTTGACCAGACTGGTCTCCAACTCGCTACCTCAAGTGCTGGGATTACAGGTGTGAGCCACCTCACCCAGTCTCTCCTTTTAAAGAAATTGATTGGACAATAACATGGTCCTTAGAAGGAATTCTCTCTTACATTTCATATTAATGTTTCTCCTCTCAAATTAGGCTGATAGCTTAAGTGCCCAGGCTACAAAATTTGTTTCATTCTCATGCACAAATAGCATACACACAGTGCCTCAGTATTTTTCCATGCCCTGACCTCAAATGCCATGTACGTAAGCTTGAATATGTTGCCATGTGCCCCCCACAACCAGGGGGTGTACATTCTTTGTGATATTAGGAGTAATATCCTCTCACCTCGTGGATATTACAAACAATATCACAAGGTGGGTGTACAACCCCTGCGATATTGGAAGTAATAATATCCTCTTTCCCCCTAAATATTATGAACTACATTACAGTGGAGTTTACACCTCCTGCCATATTGGAAGTTGTATCATCCTTTCCCACACAGGATATGATGAAAAATATCACAGGGGAGTGTACACCCCTTCCATATGCAGAGTAATATCATCCTGTCTTCTGCTGGATATTATGAACAATATCACAGGGGGTTGTAAACACAGGGTGCTTGTGAAATTGGGAAAAATGCCCTCTCATCCCCTGCATATTACAAACAATTTCCCAGGAGGGTGTGCGCCCTCTCAATGTGGCAAGTAATACCATCCTCTTGCCCCATGAGTGTTATGAACAGTATCGCAGAGGTGTGAACACGATATGGGAAGTAACATCATTTTCTCCCTTCCTGGATATTATGAACAATATTGCAGGGGATGTACACCATATCACAGTATGGGTGTATATTCCCATATTGCAGGGGTGTACACCCCCTGTGATATGAAAAGTAACATCATCCTTCCCCTCCCAAATATTATGAACGATATCGCAGAGGGGTGTACACATTCTGTGATACGAGGAGTAACATTATTCTCTCCCCCACCGGATATTCGGAACAATATCGCAGAAGGGCGTACACCCCTGCAATGCGTGGAGTAACATCATCCTCTTTCCCCCTGGATATTATGAACAACGTTGCAGGGGGCTGTCCACAGTCTGCGATATTCGGACTCGCAACATCCTTTCCCCCACCGAATGTTACAAACAGTATCACAGGTTTGTCCATCTCTGCGATATGGGGGTAACATCATCCCCTCCCCCACTGAATGTTACAAACAGTATCACAGGTTGTCCACCCCTGCGATATGGGGGTAACATCATCCTCTCCCCCACTGAATGTTACAAACAGTATCACAGGTTGTCCACCCCTGCGATATGGGGGTAACATCATCCYCTCCCCCATTGAATGTTACAAACAGTATCACAGGTTGTCCACCTCTGTGATATGGGAGTGACATCATCCTCTCCCCTCCTGGACATGATGAACAATATCACAGGACGGTGTACACCGCCCGTGATATGGGTAGTAATGTCATCGTCTTTTCCCCTGGATGTTGTGGACAGTATCACAGGGGTGTATACCCCCTGCAATATGGGAGTAATAGCCTCTCCCCGCCCTGCCCCGATGTTACAAACAATATTGCAGGGGGGTGTACACCCACTATAATGTGAAAAGCAGTATTATCCTCTCCCACCGTGGATATTACGAACAATATCACAAGGGTGTGTACATCCCCTGCGATATTGAGGAAAATGTCATTGTCTCTCTCCTTGGACATAAGGAACAATATCACAAGAAATTGTACATCCCTGTGATATTGGGAGGAACATCATCCTCTCCTTCCCTGGATATTATGAACAATATCACGGGGGTATGTACACCTTCTGTGATATTAGGAGGAACATTATCCTCTCCCCACCAAGGTAATGAACAGTATCACAGGGAGATGTATACCCAGTGCGATATTGGGAAAAATATCCTCTCCTCCACTTAATGTTAAGAACAATATCACAGAGAATGTGGACATTATCTGCAATATTAGGTGGGATAGCATCCTCTCTCCCGGCCCCTGGATATTATGAACAATATCACAGAAGGGTGCACAGATTCTGTGATATTGGGAAGAATACTATCCCCTCCTCCCCGCACCCCAATATTACGAACAATATCACAAGGAGGTGTACACCCCTTGCCATATTGGGAGGAATATCCCCTCCCCCTCTAAAGATTACGAACAGTCTCACAGGGAAATGTGCACCCCCTGCAATATTGGGAGGAATATCATCCTCTCCTTCTTTGGATATTATGAACAATTTCACAGGGAAATGTGTATTCCTGAGATACTGAGAGGAATATCATCATCTCCCCTCCTGGATATTTGAAGAATATCACAGGTGGGTGTACACCTTCTGCAATATTGGGAGTAGTATCATCCCCTCCCCCTTGGATATTACAAAAATATCACAGAGGGTGTACACAGAAAGTGCTTACAATGTTGGGAATAATATCTCCCCTTCTTGATATTAGGAGCAATATCATAGGGGGTGTACACTCTGCAAGATTGACAGTCATGTTATCTTCTCCCTGCATGGATATTATGAACAATATCACAGGAGGGTGCACATTTCCTGAAATATTGGAAGGCATATTACCCTCTCCCCACCTGGATATTAAGAACAATATCACAGGGCATTGTACCCTCCCCCCCACAACGATATTGGGAAAAATATTATCCTCTCCCCCCACTGGATATTACGAACAATATCACTGGGGGTGTACAACTCCTGCAACATTGGGAGGAATATCATCCTCTCCCTTCCTGGATATGATGAACAGGATCCAAGAAGGATGTGCACTTCCTGCGATATTGGGAGGAATATCATCTCCTCCCCTCAATATTATGAACAATATCACTTGGGGATGTACACTCCCTGTGACATTGGGAGGAATATTATACTCTCCCTCCCTGAATACAACAAACAATATCACAGCGGGGTGTACATGCCCTGCGATATTGGGAGGAATAGCATCTTCTCCCCCACTGGATATTATGAACATGATCACAGACCTTTGAGTTCTGTCATCAGGAGAAACTGGAATTGCTGGGTCCAAAGTGTTTGGGAAGTTTGGAGTGATTCTTGTTGCAGGGGGAAGAGAGAACTAAGGACGTGTCACTGAACTTTCAGGGGTGCCGGGATCCACCAACCAGGTGCCTGTTCCAGCTCCCCGAGTGCGCCCCCCTCCCGCCCCTACCTGTTTTCACCCCTTGTGGCTCCACCTCCGCCGGGCAGCTGGACCTTGCCCGGGGCCTTCTGATCTTCGAGCTCCAATTTCAGCCGGAACTGCGCAGCCCGCCCCTTCCCTGGCAGGAGCACAGCGGAGAACTCTGTTCAGACACTGAGCTACAGACAGACACTGGGACCCGGGACAACTGAGGCGCCGATGGCCGTGCCTGGCGAGCCCTGCGTGGGGCAGGAGGTGAGTGCTCCCTCACATTGCGCCCCACTCTCCTTTTCCAGGCTTGGTTTGGCTGCAGATCTCTCTGGCTGCGATACTGGGGAGAGGAGTGACCCCCAAATTCCTGGACCCGGAAGCGGGGAGACTTACTCCAGCCCCCTAACTGCACGGGTTGGACCCCTTTCACCGAGCCAGCCCCCGATACTCCAGCTCTGTTTAAGGGGCCACCAGACCGCCCAGCTTCTAGGGGCTTTGACCCTCGTTTGCGTAAAGCTAGTGGGTCCCCCAAGCTCTCCTACCGCCAGAGAGTACTTACCTCTCTTGTTTCTTTTCCCATTGCCCTTAGCAAAGGATTCCAGGGAGTGGAGTACATGGGGGGGTGGGGGTGGGGGTTGCAAGCTCCCAGCATTCTGAGGGCCAGGGAGGTGAAGCAATAGGCTGGTATGAATTGAGGGATCCTCTGTGCCTAGCCTTGTGCCCAACATGGTGCCACACTGCTGTGAACTTTGCTGCTGCTAATCCATTTAATACAACTCACAGAGGTAGAGTCTCATCCCCCTTTTGCAGGGAAGGAAACTGAGGCACAGAGGTTAAAGTTTGCACAGCCAGTGTGTTGTGAAACCAGGGAGAATAAAAAGACAGCGGAGAGAGAAGTGGAGAGGCCATGTCCATTAAACTTCAGATTTCCTCTAAGGTTAGATAGGACCAGCAGAACTGCTGAGATAAAAACCACAGATGAAGCTGAGCGCGGTGGCTCATTGTCTGTAATCCCAGCACCTAGGAGGCTGAGTCAGGAGGATTGCTTGAGGCCCGGAGTTCCAGACCAGTGTGGGCAACGTAGTGAGACCTCTATCTCTACAAAACATAAAAAAAAAAAAAAAAAAAAAAATTAGCCAGGCCAGGTGAGGGGGCTTATGCCTGTAATCCCAGCACTCTGGGAGGCCAAGGTGGGAGGATTGATTGAGCCCAGGAGTTCGAAGCTTTAGTAAGCTTTGATTGTGCCACTGCAGCCTGGGCAACGGAGTGAGACTCTGTCTCTAAAACATAAATAATAATAAAAATAAATCACATCAGGATCACCAGTCGGACAAGCTTTGGGATCACATAAGCCTGGGTCAGACTCAGTTCTGCTACTTCCCATTTTTGTGGCCCTGAGGGAGGCAGTTCCCCTCTTGGTGCCTCAGTCTGCTGGTCTCTGAAATGGGGACAGTATGGCCTATGTCCTAGAGTTGTTATAAGGATTAACTGATAGTCCATGCCTAGCAATAATTATGGAGCCCAGGTCTCCTAGACCCCAGAGCCCAGCTCCCTGGGTTCAAATCCCAGCCCTTCCACTTCTCAGCTGGGTAAAGTCAGCCAAGCTACTCAACCTCTCTGGTCCTCGGCTTTTTCATCTGCAAATCAATATGATAATTGCATCTACCTAGGGTTGATGTCAGGATGAAAGGAGTTGAGAATTATTAGGTATTCCAAAGAGTGCTTGGTACATTTCTGTGTAAATGTTAGAGATCCAAAAAGTC